ATACCGTTAATAGACTTGAGTGACCTTGTAGGAGGGTCAGTGTCATTGGTTGAATAAACTTAATCGCCCTTCAACACTGCAGACAACTGGACAAATATCATCATTGTTGGCCTTTGCATTATTTTGTTTTTTTGTTTTTTTTTAAATTGAATCATTTGTCCCCTGTGACCTTATACATGGGTCAAGTTCATTAATTTGAATTACTTGGTAGCCCTTTATCCCAGCATGCTATTAGCTGAATATCATCACTCTAGGCCTATCATTCATTAAGAAGAAGACATTTTAAGACAAAAAAAGTTGACATAAGATGAACCGACGACAAATGCCTTGCCATGGCATATTTAAGCTTACTTGGTCCTTTTATCCAGGTGAGCTTAAATGAATTACACAATACAACTTTGAATATATGTATAAAATGTATTTAATTTTGGCTATTCCCCTATGATTTAGTTTTTAAGGTTACATTGTCCAACCCTAAAAAAAATACATCAATAAAAAAATGATAATAATATCAAAGCAACTTTTTACACATTTGTTTTATTGTCAAAAATGACCATCATTAAATTTACATTTAAAAGAGTTTGCCCTTTTGAATTAACCTTTAACATAAACGGACAGACCAAGATATTTTGGGTGCATACACCCTTTATCTCAAGCCCATTTCCCACCCACCCCTAAAAAAAAGAAATCATAATTGATCACACCAGTTTGACCGGATATTATAACAACAAGGCATCACAAGTGATACAAATCCCCTCACATTCACACACTGTGTGCAATATGTATGAGGAAATGAATAGAAAATTCAATAATGTAACAGTAACTGCTCTAGCAAACTGCATCTGTAGAAGGTATTGTCATGGCAAACAATTGTATCAAGTTTCACGAAATTCCGCTGAAGAATGAAGTCGGATGAAGCAACCTTGACAATCCAAGTACCATTAATTTATGGAAATTTATTTGAGAAGTTGTTCCCAAACAGACTAGTACTTCACCAAATATTTTTAAGCAGTGGAAGTGAGAACATTTATGATAAAAAGAAAACAGCTGACCATCTCAACAACTACCATACAGATATAGCCGGGAAACTCATTTCACAGCTTGATAATACTGACTCTACATTCGAAAAGGTTAAAGGTTTTATCTCACAGAAAATTTCTGAAAAATGTAGCTTTACAATTCTATACATGGAGATCAAATTTTCTGAAAACTTTTTAAAATCATTAGATATCAAAAAGGCTGTTGGTATAGATGGTGTATTTTATATATTGTAGTACAGATTGGTCAGGTTGTACAGCAAAACTAATGGATAAATTATCTAAAGGCTCAAAAACGAGCAGCCAGATCTAAGGACATGTTTTGAGCTTTAAAGTGGATGCCAATCGAGAACAACTTGACATTTAGAATAGTATGTAATGTCTAAATGGATTAGTACTGAGCAGGAAATGTTTGTCTAGCCAGGAATGTCCATACAAGAAGTAGCGTACTAGGTTTTCAGATGCAAATATCATCTGTGTTCTGAAACACAGGACAACATTTTATTCCGAACAATTTTTTTATTGCTGGTATTCAACTTTGGAATGGACTTCCAGAAGAGTTAAAGAAAGTCAGTAAATTTAACAATTTTAAACAGAAACTTGTCAAACATTTTCATACATTTTATAAGTAGCTTTTTCAATGAAGTGAAACCAATTTTGTTTTAAATTATGCTACATTAGCATATAACTAGGTCAATTTTTATGTTTTTGCTATGTTAGCATATATGTAAAATGTGCCATTTAATTGATGAAACAACTTTGCAGGACAATTGTGCATTTTGTGATATTCTTAACCTAAGACAGCTGTGATATTAATTTTAAGGTGACTTTGTCTTAGAAAGTTATGATATTATATATTTTATGCTATTGTGTGTTTCTTATATATATTTATAATGTTATGCATAATTAACATGTGTATATTACTAACAAGAGGACCATGTGGAAGATTAGCCCATGGCTAAACATGTATTTATCCTCAATAAAGAAAAATAATAATAATTATCATTATAAGTCGATAGAGCGATGACAAAGTTGTTTTTTAAATAGTAACAGTGACCTTGAACTTTCACACAGTAACCTGAAATACAAATTGTTCAAGGCATTGCCATACCAAACACTAAATGTACCCCACATGGTTTATTTCTAGTAACAGTGACTGGAGCTTAGAATTTAAAACAAGAGGCCCAAGGGCCTTAGCGGTCACCTGAGTTATATCATAGGTACTGGTAACTTTATTTTATTGTTTAGATGTGATGTGGAAATCAGCATGTAAACTAAGTGAAGTACAATACTTGTCATGTCATCAAAGGATAAGAATTTGAAAATATTGGTAAATGTTCCCTTTGGGGCCCCACATACACCCTAGCCCCTGGGGATGGGGCAGGAATCCCAATTTTACAATGTAATACCCTCATTCACCAAAGATGATTCTGACTAAGTTTGAGTAATTTTCTACTGAAAATGGATAAAATATACCCAAAAGTGTTATTTCCTTATATAAACTATAGTAAACTAATTATCCCCTCCCCAAGGGAGAATGGATAGCTCTGGGGTCCTGAAATTTACAATTTAAATAAAGCCCCTGATGATTTTCTTTCCATGCAGAGAAAATGAATGTAGTACCTCTGAGTCTGGAGAAGATTTTTGAAATATTGGTTAATTTTCCCTTTGGGGCCCCGCCCTGGCCCCAGGGGTTGGGATAGGAATCCCAATTTTACTATTTGAAACCATCCCTCCAAGGATAATTCTCACCAAGTAAAAATAATTTCCTACAGAAAGTTATCAAAATATACCCAAAAGTGTTATTTCACTATCTAAACTATAGTAAACTTTACCCTCTTCCAAAGGGAGATTGGATAGCTCAGGGTCCTGAAATTTACAATTTAAATAAAGCCCCTGACGATCTTTCTTTCCATGCAGAGAAAATGACTGTGTCCCTCTGAGTCTGAAGAAGAAGATTTTTGAAATATTGGGTAATTATCCCTTTGGGGCCCAACCCTGGCCCAAGGGGTCGGTCGGGGTAGGAATTTCAATTTTACTATTTGAAAACATCCCTCCAAGGATACAAGGTTTGGGGTAGGATTCCAAATTTTACAATTTTGTAGCCTCATCTACCAAGGATGTTTCTGACCAAGTTTGAAAAAAATCCATCTACTGGTTCTTGAGAAGAAGTTGAAAATGTTAAAAGTTTATGCACTTGAGCAAAGCTCAGGTGACCTAAAAATTGTAACAGTGACCTTGATTTTCAACGCAGTTACCCGAAATGCGAATTTGTTCCAAGGTATTTTCATGAATTTCTGTTGAAAACTAAAGTCGCTCGAGCGATCCCAAAGAGTGTAACATATATATATACGTACGTACGGGCGGAATCTTATATCCCCTCGAACTTTCTTTATGAGGGGATTATAAAGTCTCCAGGTAGATATTATGTATAATATCAGTATAACCAAATCCATACTATGATAGCATCAAAACTTAATGCATATGCTATAGGATATATGAACTGGCACACTTTACCGCTCATTGAGTGCCAAAAATGAATTTCTTGCATACAAATAAGGAATGTTATCATGTTACCTGCTGTTATGTTTGCTTCTTTATCTTTGTTTTTTTTATATGTTCTCTTTTTAATTGATGTACTTTGTATATATGGATCTGATGACTAAACTAAATGCTAGATCAAATTGTTAGAATACAATGGTACTTGATCACTCACCATGCTACAGGTCAAATATCATGACTCATATATCTAAAGTATTGTAACTTTTAATTTAAAATTCTATAAACCAAAATGGTTTTAGTTTATAGAATCTTTGATTTGTAGATCAAAACCAGAAGAACAAGAGGCCCTGAGGGCCTGTATCGTTCACCTGGAAATGTTAGCAAAATTGAAGTTGAAATAGCTAGATACTGCTGGTAGTGTACATGGTTAGTCAGGGGTTATATTTATATGCAATTGGACAAAATCAGGAAAAAAAGGACTTTGAAGAATTTGCTGTTTCCCCTATTGGGCCCCACCCCTCTGGCCCCGTGTCAGACCCACCGTTGATACGAAATTAAGTCCCCTTCACCCAAGGATGCTAATAAGACAAAATATGGACAAAATCCTGTCATTCCTAGAGAAGAAGAAGGATTTTAAAGCTATTATCTATTTTCCCTATTTGGCCCCGCCCCTCTGCCCCCAGGGGGTAAAACCCATCATTTATACAAAATTGATTTTCCTTCCCCATAGGATGCTACTGTTCAAATTTGATCAAAATACCTTCATCCAAACAGAAGACGAATATTTAAGCTATTCCTTTATATCCCATATTAGGCCCCGCATCATTGTCCCAAGGGGGATCAGACCCACTGTATATACAAACTTGATTCCCCTTCACCAAAGGGCGTATGATACAAAATTTGGGCAAAATCCTGTCATTCCTTCAGGAGAAGAAGGATTTTGAAGAATTTGCTATGTTTCCCCTATTGGGCATTGCCCCTCTGCCTCCAGGGGGGACAGACCCACTGTTTATACAAAATTAAGTCCCATTCACCTAAGGATGCCTTAAACTAAATATAGGCAAAATCCTGTTATTCCTACAGAAGAAGCAAAATTTTGAAGAATTTGCTAAATTACCCCTATTAGGCTGACCGCCCCTCTGCCCCCAGGGGGGCCACACCCACTCTTCATACAAAATTAAGTCTGATTGGCCCAAGGATGTTCCAAATTAAATTAGGATAAAATCCCTAAATCCCTACGTTAGAAAAAGGATTTTAAAGGTTTAACCTCTATTTCCCCTATTAGAGGCCCCACCCCTCTGCTCCCATGGGGGCCACACCCACCATGTATACAAATTGAGTCCCCTAAGCCTAAGGATGCTCCAGACCAAATTTAGTCAAAATCTACGGACGGACAGACAACGGACGCTGCAGTATGGCATAAGCTCACCATCTAAGCTAATCAAAAATGAAACGTTTAGATTCTTTATATAATTTATTTTTTTATTTTTGATATTCAAAACAGTTTCACTTTTCAATATATAGGCCAGTGTTCTAACAAGATATCCCAGTGGGATCTTGGAGGCCGTCATTGTAAGATGTTCTTTAGTACTAAGTACTGGTCTTTTCTCCTATCTATTAGATTAATAGTCTTATTAACAGTAAATGCATCTTGTGGTTGCTTCTGATAAAAAATTCACATTGCTGGATTTGACAGCACCCTTTCCTAGTTGGGTCCTATTAACTAAAATAGTAATGGGTTAAATATATTGAAAAGGAGAGATAAATTTCCGTTTGATTGCCATATTTTCCTTCTGATAAAGCCACTTCAAGCTAAAAACCAAAATCAAAAAACCTAGAGCCCAGTCCCAGTCTACACAAGATATGTCTGGCAGCCTTATAGAGAAATAGTGATAACAAACTTGAACTGTCAATACTGACGATGGCTGCACTGATAGCAATTTTCCTTTTTTGATCAGTCTTAAAATGAATTATGCACAACTATAGACCAAACAGGGCCTACATATGACCATTTATGGATGGATTGGTGCTCCCCAATACATCCCATCAAACTTTTTGAGGGGCGTACAAATATATGCACATCATCAAACCAAAAGGAACCTACATATGAAATTTGAGAAAGAGGTTGTGTGCTTCTTGAAGAAAAGCGATAACATACTTGAACTATCGAAATAAAAATTGGCTTTTCAAGGCAGCCATCTTGGTTTTTTTATCAGTCTAAAATGAACCATGCACATGCACAGCTACAGGCAAAGGGGAACCATTATATAAAATTTGACAAAAAACTGTTAAGCACATCTTGACAAAAGTCGATATTAATCTTGAACTGTCAAAATCCTAAGGCGGCCACCTTTTTTTTCTCAATCTGAGTAAATTCATAAACAGCCGCAACTACAGAAAAAGGGGAACCTTTGTGGCTGGAGGTCACAAAGGTTTTATCATAAGTTGAATGAAAGGTACTGTATGGGATTAAGCCAACTTAAAGAGACCGGTGAGCTACAATAGTGGTAGTAAATAGATATCAAACAGCATTTTCATTGTTTGTTATTCCAATAATTTTCTCATTGTTGGCACATGGATAAATTCTTGCCTCCATTCTCAGTTGCTTCGTGATGAGCAAACGTTTTCTGTTCTTTGAATTGGCAAGCTTAAAATGTTTTTTATTTCAAATTGTAAGTGCTTTATTAACAAGGTTTTTTTTCTCTGGATATCCCACTACCAAACAATTTACCACTTACTAACCTTGAAAAGCCATGAACACAAAGCCATTTATAGACCATTGAAATGCCATGAAAATGTGCAATAATAAGGGTGTGATTGATGGAAAGATTAATGGGGAACCCATGAAGTCAAACAGTTTGTAATGGGCATCAAATAGGCAGGTTAATGGCCATGTTTAAAGTGCTGGGTAGCACCCATCACTTAAAAGTTGATTCAGTTACACATTTCACATGGATTTAACAGTAATTTTATAGACTTTTCATGGCTCATGGAATATTTTTGAAAGCCGATTTCTTTCATGGCTGTTTCACAAGCATATTCAAGGCTATATTTCGGGTAGTGTTTGATTCTGTCAATCCTGAACAATAGCCACGATAATGCATTAAAACAACATGATACAGCTCACTTCCCAAAGAGTTCATTCTTTTTTCTTGGTCTATAGGTTCTGTAGGAAAAATGTCACAAGACAAGATCAAGTCTTGCAGCGATGCACATTTTGTTTCCATCTAACTGTTCTTGTTGTTTATAGTTGTCTTCCACTTTCTTTCAATACAGAACCAAGATTGTTGTTATTTAAGGCCTTATGTAAATTTGTCAACTCTTTCTTCATCACGTTTATCACACCCGAGGTCACATTTTTTGACACATTTGTGTTGTAACACTCTTTGTACTCAAGTGGAATCTCCATTGCTCCATCGGAAACTCTAAGATGTCTTAAAGTCCTTTGGTAGTACACGCCATCATAAATGGAAATCTTTCTTTTACTGAAGTCGAACGCCAAGTAATAATCACAAAATCCTTTCAGCAGATCAACTGTAATCAAAATAACAACAACATTATAAATACACACTGGTAAAATGTCCATGGCAGAATGCAATTAATAACAAGAGGCTCAGAGGGCCTACATTGCTCACATTTATATTTTACTACTGATCACGGCATCATATTTTCACTAAATATTGAAAATAGGCCAACCAGGTAGGACAAGGCACCAGTGCAAATTTTGGTAGCATAATTATATATTTATATATATTACAGTGTTTTTTCTTTCTAAATTTTGCTGCTGCCTGTTCCAACATGAATTTGGGAACTATTGCAGTATTTTCATCACTGATATATACAATAAAATCTTCTTGTTCAGCAACAGTATATAAAGTTACAGGGTGGGATCTTTACTGTTTCCATGTTTATATTCAGAAACTAGGTTTACATTGGCAGGGAGAGGCTCCAGGCTGATCCTGGCAGTGCTACCATATACAACTATCAATGCAAGTATACCTGGAAATTTCCCCACAATTGAACATTTTCCCTTTTTCGCCTTCTTTAATGAGGGCAAATTTATCATTGGAGAGACGTCTACTAGTAAATAACATAATACACATAGTATTCAAATGTGAATGGGAAAATTTACAATTGGCAAATATGCATTTTTTGATACAAGATGAAACTTTGAATGGGCAAAAGTTTCCAGATATACAGTATATACACCTGTATTTTGTTCCATGCAGAGAAAACTATTTATGATAAGAATATGATCTCAATTAATTCAAAGCTATACCCCCTTGTTTTGCCCTGCCATTTAACCCCAGTGGATACACCCCCCATTTGTACAATTTTGAATCACCACCACCTGAGTATGCTGTAAACCAGATATAGGTTGTAAAACTTATTGCTCAATAAAAGAAGTAAAAAGCATTTCTTAAACATTTTTGACCCTGCCCCCAAAAACCCCTGGAGTACTGCCCCTTCATTTGTGTCATTTTGAATCGCCATCACTTGAGAATACTTCATAACCAAATATGGTTGCCAATAACTTGGTTAACCAACTCAGTCATTTCAAGCAATGTGACAATCATGCACTCTTCTGTGGCCATACCCACCCCTCAGCCCCTGTGGGAGTCAGCCCTTCTACTGTATTTGTACAATTTTGAATCCACTCTGCCAGCGAATGATTGTGTCCATCTGATAGTTACAGAGAATAAAGTTGTTTAAAGCATTATGGCCAAATTAACCCTTTTTGGTTCCAATCCTCAGTCCTCCCAGGTGTTAGCCCCACAATCCTCACAACTTGACTAAGCTTCCAACCAATGGCTGCTATCCATCTCATTTAAAGCATTACAAATTACCCCTTTTGGCCCCTCCCCTCAACCCATGTGTGTCAATTTTTCAGTTATACTGACTTTGACCTTGGATGGACCACTCCTAAAATGTCTAGTGTTCTATTTCCCTTGTTCAACCAACATACCAAGTCTGAGCTTAATGCCGAAAGTTATTTGAAGGTAGCATGGAACAAAATTTTAACTTCAACTTCAACTCACCAGGATGGCCGACTTACACCCCTACCTGCATAAAGAATTGTAGGAAAACAGGAGTCAACACTAACACTATAGTCTGCTAGTCCTGGACTAGTAGATTTCAGCAGGAGTCAACACTAACACTATAGTCTGCTAGTCCTGGACTAGTAGATTTCAGCAGGAGTCAACACTAACACTATAGTCTGCTAGTCCTGGACTAGTAGATTTCAGCAGGAGTCAACACTAACACTATAGTCTGCTAGTCCTGGACTAGTAGATTTCAGCAGGAGTCAACACTAACACTATAGTCTGCTAGTCCTGGACTAGTAGATTTCAGCAGGAGTCAACACTAACACTATAGTCTGCTAGTCCTGGACTAGTAGATTTCAGCAGGAGTCAACACTAACACTATAGTCTGCTAGTCCTGGACTAGTAGATTTCAGCAGGAGTCAACACTAACACTATAGTCTGCTAGTCCTGGACTAGTAGATTTCAGCAGGAGTCAACACTAACACTATAGTCTGCTAGTCCTGGACTAGTAGATTTCAGCAGGAGTCAACACTAACACTATAGTCTGCTAGTCCTGGACTAGTAGATTTCAGCAGGAGTCAACACTAACACTATAGTCTGCTAGTCCTGGACTAGTAGATTTCAGCAGGAGTCAACACTAACACTATAGTCTGCTAGTCCTGGACTAGTAGATTTCAGCAGGAGTCAACACTAACACTATAGTCTGCTAGTCCTGGACTAGTAGATTTCAGCAGGAGTCAACACTAACACTATAGTCTGCTAGTCCTGGACTAGTAGATTTCAGCAGGAGTCAACACTAACACTATAGTCTGCTAGTCCTGGACTAGTAGATTTCAGCAGGAGTCAACACTAACACTATAGTCTGCTAGTCCTGGACTAGTAGATTTCAGCAGGAGTCAACACTAACACTATAGTCTGCTAGTCCTGGACTAGTAGATTTCAGCAGGAGTCAACACTAACACTATAGTCTGCTAGTCCTGGACTAGTAGATTTCAGCAGGAGTCAACACTAACACTATAGTCTGCTAGTCCTGGACTAGTAGATTTCAGCAGGAGTCAACACTAACACTATAGTCTGCTAGTCCTGGACTAGTAGATTTCAGCAGGAGTCAACACTAACACTATAGTCTGCTAGTCCTGGACTAGTAGATTTCAGCAGGAGTCAACACTAACACTATAGTCTGCTAGTCCTGGACTAGTAGATTTCAGCAGGAGTCAACACTAACACTATAGTCTGCTAGTCCTGGACTAGTAGATTTCAGCAGGAGTCAACACTAACACTATAGTCTGCTAGTCCTGGACTAGTAGATTTCAGCAGGAGTCAACACTAACACTATAGTCTGCTAGTCCTGGACTAGTAGATTTCAGCAGGAGTCAACACTAACACTATAGTCTGCTAGTCCTGGACTAGTAGATTTCAGCAGGAGTCAACACTAACACTATAGTCTGCTAGTCCTGGACTAGTAGATTTCAGCAGGAGTCAACACTAACACTATAGTCTGCTAGTCCTGGACTAGTAGATTTCAGCAGGAGTCAACACTAACACTATAGTCTGCTAGTCCTGGACTAGTAGATTTCAGCAGGAGTCAACACTAACACTATAGTCTGCTAGTCCTGGACTAGTAGATTTCAGCAGGAGTCAACACTAACACTATAGTCTGCTAGTCCTGGACTAGTAGATTTCAGCAGGAGTCAACACTAACACTATAGTCTGCTAGTCCTGGACTAGTAGATTTCAGCAGGAGTCAACACTAACACTATAGTCTGCTAGTCCTGGACTAGTAGATTTCAGCAGGAGTCAACACTAACACTATAGTCTGCTAGTCCTGGACTAGTAGATTTCAGCAGGAGTCAACACTAACACTATAGTCTGCTAGTCCTGGACTAGTAGATTTCAGCAGGAGTCAACACTAACACTATAGTCTGCTAGTCCTGGACTAGTAGATTTCAGCAGGAGTCAACACTAACACTATAGTCTGCTAGTCCTGGACTAGTAGATTTCAGCAGGAGTCAACACTAACACTATAGTCTGCTAGTCCTGGACTAGTAGATTTCAGCAGGAGTCAACACTAACACTATAGTCTGCTAGTCCTGGACTAGTAGATTTCAGCAGGAGTCAACACTAACACTATAGTCTGCTAGTCCTGGACTAGTAGATTTCAGCAGGAGTCAACACTAACACTATAGTCTGCTAGTCCTGGACTAGTAGATTTCAGCAGGAGTCAACACTAACACTATAGTCTGCTAGTCCTGGACTAGTAGATTTCAGCAGGAGTCAACACTAACACTATAGTCTGCTAGTCCTGGACTAGTAGATTTCAGCAGGAGTCAACACTAACACTATAGTCTGCTAGTCCTGGACTAGTAGATTTCAGCAGGAGTCAACACTAACACTATAGTCTGCTAGTCCTGGACTAGTAGATTTCAGCAGGAGTCAACACTAACACTATAGTCTGCTAGTCCTGGACTAGTAGATTTCAGCAGGAGTCAACACTAACACTATAGTCTGCTAGTCCTGGACTAGTAGATTTCAGCAGGAGTCAACACTAACACTATAGTCTGCTAGTCCTGGACTAGTAGATTTCAGCAGGAGTCAACACTAACACTATAGTCTGCTAGTCCTGGACTAGTAGATTTCAGCAGGAGTCAACACTAACACTATAGTCTGCTAGTCCTGGACTAGTAGATTTCAGCAGGAGTCAACACTAACACTATAGTCTGCTAGTCCTGGACTAGTAGATTTCAGCAGGAGTCAACACTAACACTATAGTCTGCTAGTCCTGGACTAGTAGATTTCAGCAGGAGTCAACACTAACACTATAGTCTGCTAGTCCTGGACTAGTAGATTTCAGCAGGAGTCAACACTAACACTATAGTCTGCTAGTCCTGGACTAGTAGATTTCAGCAGGAGTCAACACTAACACTATAGTCTGCTAGTCCTGGACTAGTAGATTTCAGCAGGAGTCAACACTAACACTATAGTCTGCTAGTCCTGGACTAGTAGATTTCAGCAGGAGTCAACACTAACACTATAGTCTGCTAGTCCTGGACTAGTAGATTTCAGCAGGAGTCAACACTAACACTATAGTCTGCTAGTCCTGGACTAGTAGATTTCAGCAGGAGTCAACACTAACACTATAGTCTGCTAGTCCTGGACTAGTAGATTTCAGCAGGAGTCAACACTAACACTATAGTCTGCTAGTCCTGGACTAGTAGATTTCAGCAGGAGTCAACACTAACACTATAGTCTGCTAGTCCTGGACTAGTAGATTTCAGCAGGAGTCAACACTAACACTATAGTCTGCTAGTCCTGGACTAGTAGATTTCAGCAGGAGTCAACACTAACACTATAGTCTGCTAGTCCTGGACTAGTAGATTTCAGCAGGAGTCAACACTAACACTATAGTCTGCTAGTCCTGGACTAGTAGATTTCAGCAGGAGTCAACACTAACACTATAGTCTGCTAGTCCTGGACTAGTAGATTTCAGCA